GTAGGAGGGGGGGCGGGGGGGCAAAAAGTTTTAGGCCGCATTTAGTATGTAGTAGAATTTGTGACAATCGAATAAGGGTTTTTTCCTCATCATTTAAAAAAAAAAATCTGAATAAAACTTAAATTCGATTGGCTGTCAATCTTGGCGGCTTAACAAATTCTTTTTCCTTTTCTTAAAGCACACACCATTCAAATCGGTGCGATTCAGAGAGAGGATTGAATTACACTACTTTTCGTGTCTTATTTTTCTGTCAGCATACCAAGGTGGTTCCAGTAGGGGTCTTTTACATATTATTTGAACGCCTCTGAAGAAGGCATTTTGCTCTGTACCTAGAAACGATGGGAACCCTAGCACTCAGAACTGTAGTAGAGTCACTCGTCGCTTGTTTATAATTTTGGTTCAGCCAAGATTTTTCTTGTACCTGATCAGCTTCAGTCTCAGCGAATTGCTGCCCTGTAAAGTATTAGAATTATCTTTGAATGTTCCTTTTTTTTTCTTCTTTTTTTTCTTTTTCTCTTGCGTTTTTATTCATGAAGATAACTCTATATTTCTTGTTAGGTTCGTGTTGTTTGTCAGACTTTTTGTAAAATTTTCCCTCAAATTTTCTTTGCAGCAATCGTGATAGAGTCGAGGATAAGGGACTTAAAGTGAAAGAGATTGAATGTACCCAAGACATGTACTGCATACCTAAAATGGTCGATTACATATACAGCGTATAGCACAAAGAAACATTCTAAAATTGACTAAACAAATTTCAAGGTTTCAGCACAAAAATTTACAAACTCGTTCCATTTCAAGTTTTGAGACCGTTTCATGGAGAAATATATAATCAAAGAAAAAAACACTTTCAATGTCTTTTTATTAATGTTAATTTTCGAGGTTTCATATTTTGAAGAAGTGTTCTTGGAGGTACTTTATACTATAACTATTATAAGAAATATAAAACTGATAACACAACTAATTATGTCTCAATTTGCACAAGCACAATACATTTTGATAGTTGCAAAACGTGTAAGGAAAAAAGCTTCACTCAGTCTGCCACCAATCTTCACATTTTCGTTTAATATCCATGGTGTTGGTCCGCAACTACGTATCTCGTTTGCGGTGTTTGAAAATGTCAGATATTTAATTCTTCAAAGGAGAACAAATCGACATCATTCCTTGAAGTTCCCGCAGAATTTTCTTTGCACTGAGAAGAAAAATCATGGCAGTTATTAAAAGTTGCCGCCGAGTAGTTAAAAAAAGTCATCAAGAAAGCCTCAGTATGACACCAGGAAGTCTGCAATGTCGCGAAACGAGAAACATGGTTGCGAACTTACTCCGTCCCTATGTAGAAGGAGTTTACTCTCATCATAATTAAAAGATCAACAGAGAATCACAATACTGTTTCTCTCAATCGTTTTCAGGTAATTTTTGATAGTGGCTCTGAAAGTAATCAGAGATAAGAAATGGTCCAATTTTAGCTCAAGTCTTGTTTTTTTGCTGCACAGAGAAATGTGAACTTTCAGCTCCAGTCCTAGTCCTTCCCTCTTGACTCTTTCACAATTGTTGTCATTCAGCTGTCTCTGTTTATTGCATTTTGCCGCCGTGCCTCGTTTCCAAAGAGATAGTCAGAACTGAAAATACCTTTTTAAGTGCATTCATGAAACTTATACTACCAATGCAATAATTTTTTTTCCCCTTCATCCTCTTATTGTATGGAGTGAATCAAGTAGAGTTGTTTGGATCGTTTGATGTCTTCCCGGGTTAGATTGCATGTAGTTAGGTCAAAGGGATTAGTGTTTATTACTTTGTCCTTATCTTGCCTTCTGAAACAGAATTAAGCGCAGTTTTAATTTATTTATTTTTTAATTTCCGCCATGGAAAATTGCCCAGTTCAATGTAAATTGCATAAATAAGGAGGAGAGAAATCTTAATCATATGATATTATGAAAACAGCAGACGAAAGCAACCTGTTTTCTCTGAGTATTCGTCACCATCTTCGGGAAAAGGGACCTCAGTCCATTCCGGTTGAAAAATTGGATTTTGAGATTCCAACGGAAAACTCTTTGAGGCGTTTTTCAGATCATATTGCGAGCAGTCTAGTTAGTATTAGTGTCCCAGTTAAGTGAGAAATTTCACTCAAATCCGGTGATTCTGTATCCTGGACAAGGCCAATTGGAACTTCATGTAGGGTTTTCTCAAAACCTTGTTTTTCGAACTTCAATTCGCCATAACTCTGATTTGGTTAAACTTTTTTAAGGTGTTTTTTGTCTCTAAATGTTCATAGCGAATTTCTCCGTGCACTGGTATCAATAATGCAATTCTGAATTTTTGGAAACTGAGATCCCTTTTCTCGCCAATGGTCGGGTTTAGAGATATTTTTATTTGTCTTTTATTTTATCACAAGGCTGATATACTAAAGTCAGGACAGAAATCTTAAAAATTTTTTGAAATAGGTAAACCTTGAAAAGCTCAAGACTGGCATTTGTAGGCGCACTATAATTTAACATTGAAATACACATTTGACTGCTACCTCTCATTTCTCTCACAAAAATTTTAATTAGTAATTAATGTTCACTCTAAGGAGTCGATAGGTTTCTTGCTTTTATCGCCTTTGTATCATATTTTTACCCCTAAGTGGGTTTGCGAGATAGACAGATACCTACTTAGTGCTGACTTTGACATGACAAATCATCTTAGACATCGAACTCCTGGATTTTTATGTTTCTAAATTGGTTTTCATATTTCTGCTCTTAATTTTTTTAAATTGTAATCATCATTATTATTCAGAGGGAAATTTCTCGTCTCATGTTAAATGTTGCATCAGTTTTCATACCGAATCAACAGGAAAATCTTAAAGTTTGTGCGAGTAATTTAATTTGCTGTAATAGGCGTGAGTTAAACTGAGGCAATATCTGATAGTTAATCTTCTGCATTTTTTTGATGCTGCTTCTCATCTGTAAGACTTTAAGTATGAATTGTAAAATAAACTTTCCATATAGGTACAATACTCATGTTTTATTATTCCAGTTTTTTTCTTGGTGCTTTTTCAAAAACCCGAATAATAATTTATCGTTTTACCATATTGCTGATTTATTGAGTCACACTAACTTAACAGCTATTGATTTGCGAAGATAAAGGCAGCTCAAAAATATTTTAATCAAGATCTAGGTACTATAATTTCATGTGGCACTGTTTGCTATGAACTTCGATCACGTAGTAAAATTATTGCAACTCAATCGGAGGGTTACGTTTGTTGCCTATCCACCAATTGAACCACGCTCTCATCAACATTTATTTCACTAAGATTGATTTCTCATCTTATAAAATTTATAAATAAATTTTTGAATTTTGGATTTAATAAATTTACTTACATTTTAGAATTTCTAAAATGATCAAAGAAATTTAAAATTTTTGAATTTATATTAAGAAATTTTAAATTTTTGAATTTATATTAAGAAATTTTAAATTTTTGAATTTATATAAAGAAATTTTAAATTTTTGAATTTATATTAAGAAATTTTAAATTTTTGAATTTATATCAAGAAATTTTAAATTTTTGAATTTATATTAAGAAATTTTAAATTTTTAAATGTAGGTATAAAACAATTTAAATTTACAAAATTTATTCAAATTTATAAAAGATTTTTTTTAAGAAGGTCGTGTAAAACTTGATTCAATAAAATTAAATGAGTTGCAATTTTTCTACACTTTGCAAATTGCCAATCTCTTAGAGGCATGAATCTTTTAATGATCTTTTGAAATCGATACTTAGTGATAGTGATCAATAGGAGTTGCTTGACGCATATGAATATATTCTCATTTAAAAATTTCATCATGCAGAAAATTGGCGAGGCGTGCGAAGGATCGATTATCGATATATATCGATTATTTAGTTGTTCGTCGCGAACGCCCTGTTTATCGATCCTTTTCCATTGGTTCATCACTCCAGAGACTTAAACGCAGCGCAAAAAAGTAACTGAGACCGGCCAGGTTGGCCTAGTGGTCAGCGCGTCTGACTCTAGGTAAATAGGTCCCCCCGGGTTCGAATCCCGGTGGTGGCGTCTAATTTTCACGGAATTCACGAGGAGCTGATCTGCTGAAACAGATTCTTCTCGGCCCTAATTCCTGAAAATTGGAAAAGCCCGGAACATGGAGATCCCACGATGTCCACGGACACCAAACATTGTCTATAGTTGGCTGAAGGTGCCTGACACGAAGCTATTAAACCAACAGGGGGGAAAAAAAAAAGTATCTGTGCCGACACGTGCAACTTTCTTGACACACGGAGACCTCATCATTGAAACATTTGCTTATGCTGAACTACGCACCAGAGCTTTCTAGATCTTCAGTGGCACACATTTGTGCTTTTTCTATCGATCAGCGGAAAACTCGATTTGCAATGAGAGTGACTCTGTATGGACCGTATTCGCATTTTAAAGAGTAAAATCATAATC